TCCGATTCGTGATCATCTATAGGAGACGCCGGACCGGATTTGAACGACTTCGGTGAGCTTCTCGCCGATATTAAAGATTTCACGGAACTCGGACCAGATCTAGGCGACTTTGGTGAACTTTGCCTGGACTCACTATTCTTGTACGAGTATGATTTTAATGAGTTGTCGACAGATCTTTGCATATCTGTTTCGAGGTCAGACGCCTTCGACTCGGCGTCTTCAAAGCGCATAGATTTAGAATCATTAGAAGGGGAGAGACACGACCCGTTGTCCTGTATGGGTGATCGAGACAGACTTCGATCCGATAGGGGTGAGTCAAGAGAGTTGTTTCCTGAATGGTAAGACTTTGGCGAGTCGTTCGGTTGATACGTCGGCGATGCGGGAGCGCGATATGCTGGCGACTCGGGTGACTGTGGCGGTGACATTGGCGGTGGAGATTTTGATAAACTACGAATCGATCTTGGGGAACCTTCCTCACTAGGAGACATTATCCCGGATCGCTGCGATTTCGGCGATAACGGGGGAGACCGTGGCGATTTGGATTCGCCATCACTTAACGGCGATCGGGGAGACTTTTCTCCAGAGAAGATGGAGTTCGCAGCGGACTTTTGTCGTTCCGATCCGGAAGAGTGATGCGAATAGCGTGATGATGTTACTTCATCCCCGGCCGAAGTAAGTCGATTACCTTCATCATAACCCTCCGTTGAAGTACTGTCTGAACCAGAGTCGGACATGTCGAACTGTATTTCAGCCTGTAAATCAATGACACTCATTAGAAGACGGTGAGCAATTTTAAATCGGACGGGAACGGGAATGTTTTGATTAAGATCTTTAAATGTAACCCATTCCAATCTCCCTCTTATTTGGTAAGTTAACTTTTTTTTTTCTTTTAGACGTACCGACCGAATGTAGCAGTGAATAATCTGCATCAGTAGCATCACAGAGCTTACCTGGATCAATTAGAGTCTGTGAAGTATTCGCTCTTGATGGCACAACGCGCGCGATCCATATCATGTCGAACATACTTTCTTTATATCACAACTTTCGACTTTTTTTCTTTTTTTTTTATTCAACGTGTTAAAAACTTTTTTTTTAATACTTTATTACTGAAACTGAACTTTGCTTGCGGATCACATATACGAATACCGTACTGTTTTTACTCGGACTTTTTTCGCGCGGAACTTTTTAGAGTGTCGTTTTAAACTTTTCAACTTGAACACAACACAAACTAAGAAAGTACCGACAAATCACGAACCGTATTTTTTGTACTGCACTAGCGAAACTATAACGAACGAACTTTGAACCTGAAAGAATATTTTTTGGGCCTAAAGGGAGCGAAAGAAAATGGGAAGGGACCAGGGGGGGGAGCAGAGGGGGGAATTGAAGAGCAACGAAAATATATAAATATGAAGGAAGCTTTAATAATGACATATCCTAGTAGCGTCATATTAATGATAGTTTTTGGCAAAATATAATTCAATTAATTAGTCATTAAAAAATTCATTATAATAGGTAACATCTATCAATGCAAGCGTTATTTTCTTAAAAAAAAAAAAAAAAACTATATTTTCCAGACAATTACACCTTATTTTCTTCCTTCCAGAATTAAACTTTGCCATTGTGATGATTCCGATGATGATTATTAAGAGCGTTAATTCTATGATAAACTTTAAAAAACTTATATTGTGAGTAACGTGTGTGCACATGTTATAAAACGTCAAAGGATTCACAGTATCGATTGCAGTAATATTGCTCAATTAATAAACAAAGCTGGAGCGACTTCTAGTTCTACATTAAACAAATCCTATATAGCGTATTTGAGATCCATCTAACATCGTGTATCTTATCAAAACTTTTTTTTTTAGTCCAAGTTGTACATTCGTTTTTGTTTACAAGAAGATAAAAGGCACTACAAAGAGGTCTGTTCTTTTGCAACTGAACTCGTTGCATTTCATTCAACATAGATCTTTAAAGGATGTCTTAAAGACATCTTTAGAAAACATTCTACATCCTGAGAATATCCTTAGGATGTTCTTTAGATAAAGTATAGACACAGTTTATTTTTCTTCTCTTTTTCTTCACGTTGAAGAAAAACAGAGGAAAGATAAAAATAAATGGTGCAAAAAGTTCAATTAAATGACATTTTCAAGCAGGAGACATAGTGGTTCTTTTCAGCAGAAAAAGTACTCAGTGATTCTTTAATATGATTAAGTCCTACATTTAGATCCGGTGAAGAATTAAAGCAAGAACTTATATTAAATTGAACGCTCATTGGTTCTCTTTGCCGAAAGCATCCAGTATAATGGTGGCCATTTTATCCTTAACATTGATACACAACAAGGATATAATAGTTGCTTTCATTTTCATACAAATGACTGTAATCTAAAGTTATATATTTTATATTCAGATAATGACGTCATTGCTTGCTTACTCAACAAAATTATCGTATAACAACACAGATTTATGAGAGAAAGGAGGAGGATCTTATTTTTAATAGAAATTAACAAGACTCATTAAAATACATGAGCTTGTACGGATTGTAGATAAAAACTTAATTGAGTTTTATATGTCACAATTAAAAGCAACATGCGATGTCAACTGATATCACAAATGAGAATTATCTAAGTTTTGGTTTAAATGGAAAGCAACTACTGATTCACTAGTTTACATTGTCACCTGTCTCTTACCAGAAACACCCATAAAGAACATACCTAAAGTAGTAAGAAAGGCTTTTTGGAGCCTTCTTTTCCTTCCAGAAACAATGTACAATACCTCGCTCTGTTATACTAGTGCAGATCACGTGTTATCTCCGTGCACACGGTACCAAAAAAAAAAAAGATATTTTTGAAGAAGTCTTCGGATGAAGGGAGTCCTCTCAATCCTTCCTTAGGTTATACGGCACAGGATCACGCGCGATGAAAAGTTAAAACGCGATGAAAGGCGACGTCCACGATAGTCCACGATAGTCCACGATAGTCCATGATAGTCCACGATTACTGCAATCGAGCGACGTGAGGAACACGAGGGGCGTGAATGTGCGGGCGTGCAACGTGAGTTTTTTTTCGGGATGGCGTTCAGTTTGTGGGGGGTGGGGGACTGGGAGAGGGGAGGGGAGGCTAGCACAGGTCGGCACCGTTATCGTAACCGCGTCCTGCTTGAGTACGGGACGTCGGCGGGGCATTCTTACCTTGGTCGCGCGGTACTGCGAGGCCTGCGCGGGGCCTCAGCGGAGACTCAAGACTAACGAGGTTCCAAGGCAGTCGGCGTCACCCGCAATGCTGACGTTTCTCTCAAGTCGCCGAGCGTGACGAGACTCGGCGGACTCGGGAACTCAAGAGACGGACGGCGCTTGGCCACACGAACTCTGCACTCCAGTCTGCCGCGAGAAACACGTCTCGGATTCCTTAAATCCTCGCTCTAAGATCACTTTAGAACTCTAGACCAGTTCGTGGCGCAGGCAATACCGTCAGTATCCGCTACCCGGTTGTCGCGCAATTGTCGCGAGAAGAACAAAGCACGAACGTCGAGATAGAGAGTAGAGAGCCGAGAGAAAACGTCGTTTTATGAACGTTTTATGACCATAGGTTTAATCGATATTGCTAGATAGGCATGCGAATACGCTCGTTTACGAACGCACATGTCGACCAATCGAGCGGTTGTTCTTTCAATGGGTGCATCCAGAAGCACGACCGCTCAGTGAGTTCTTGCATCTGATTGGTATATTCTATTAGAAATGTAGACCAAACAGGTAAAAGAATTTATTGAGCGGTTGTGCTTCTGGATGCTCCCAATGGCTGCATTCAATGAACTCAGGGTCGGTGTTTCACCTTTTGGTAAATTTTACCTGTGAGGTAAGTAGCAAGATTACCCAATTACATGCGCGGATTACCAGATTTACTTCATAGGTAAAATTTACTAAAAAGTGAAAAAACCGACCCTCAATAATTAAGCGAATGTTCGTTGTTATTTGTGTATTCTTTTAGATCATCCAATCAGTATTTTAGATCTAGAAGAATCAATAGCAGTGAGCGCTCACTCAATTGTTGAGTTTGCTGAACGCAGCCATTAGTGAATGGCCCCGTTACGTGCCTGAGATTTTGACCAATCAGAAATTGAGCTCATTTGCAGCGTGAACGAAAGTTTGTTTTCTGTGATTGAACTAGTGTACACTTTTCTAGTACAGACTAGCAGAAACAGAAAACAGACCACAAGTCATATAAGTTTCAAATGAGCTCAAAACTTGATTGGCTGACAAATCTTCTTACTACTTTCAATTCACTGAGCATCCATTGGAAGTCGGAATGGGTCAAACTGTCTAATTCTACTCTGCTCATAGGATCATAGCCCATAGGATTTTAATTGACAAGATATTTTTTAAACATTTAGTAACAAAAATAACTTTAAAATTATCTTCCTTATTTTATCTTTCAAATTAAGCATTAAATTATTAAAAAAGTAATTGTGAATAAATATTTCTGAAAATCTGAATCCATTTCAATTCATTTCAATTCATTCTCGTTTGCTGGGGTGGAATATATGACTTATAAGATAATATATATGTAGTATGTATAACTTTAAAAATTAAGTGATTTTTTAATTAATATATATAATTAACAATAATTAACAATAATTAATAAAAGTTAATGATGCAATAATTTGGAATACAAACAGAGAATACAAGATTTCAAACATTGTTATATTTTCCAAGAATCTATTTATTTAAGGCAGGCTTGAGATCGATACAGCAATTCAAGATACCTTACTATGTTTCATACATTCCAGCTATATTCTAATTTGGAGATGGTAGATAACAGAATAATATTCTAAACAGGAATGTACATTTATTTTTCCATCTACTTTCATTTCCGTATTCTTCGATTTTACATACATATATCTTTAATGATAAAAAAAAAGAAATAAGTATACATTATTATCAATGTATATACATATATTGAACATTGTTCTACGACAGAGTTTATTATCGACTATATGTTGTCAGATGAAAAAAAGAAAGAAACTATTACACATTATTTCTTCGTATACTTCGTCGCGTAGAAATTACGAGGATGAAAAGACGTCTATACAATAAAACGCTAAATATAAGAACGTATATTATGTTTCAAAGATATTATATCGAACGTTTCGTCTAAGAACCTATAAAGATGGACGCCCCTCTAAAATTCGTCGTTTGCGGTTCGATCGCAAGGATTAAAATAGCTCGAATGTTCTTCCAGGCCTCGAGGGTTCCGTCATTAACTCTTCTTGGTCGTTCTGATCATTTTGCATCGATAGCTGCATCAATTTACCAGCCAGTGCAGGATTCGTCTGCATAAGTCGGAGTAGCCCATCCGCAGACGCGCTGCAATCAAGTTATTTCACGTTCAATATAAAACTTCTTGCGATTTTGACAATGGCGCGTTGAAAGTCAATGATCGACTAAAATCCAACTAATTTAATCGACAATTATTTCAAATGGTAAAATTTTTTAAACACAGCACATTTTTTTATTACATCATTATTCATTGTCGATCTTTTTTTTCTCAACGCATTCAACAACTAATAATTAATTTTACATTAATATAATTTTATATTAACAATTTTATATTATCTTTATATAAATATTGTTGACTCTTTTTGTTAAATTACTTTAATTATCGATTGAATTAATCGCAGTTTGGTCAAAATCATCTCAAATTGAATAAAAATTCTCTTAAACGTGCTCATTTCTTTTTTATATGTATTTCCTTTATATATCCAAATGAATTTTAACGCTTTGTTAATTTGTAGCGAAAATATACGAGAATTTTTAATTTAATCCGACGCGATCGCGAGACGCGTCTAATATTTGATCTTTTTTTTTTTACTGTATCACTTTCAGAGTCAGTTAATTGAGATACTTACATATGCGAGAGGTTCCTCAGAATAGACAACAGGTCTCTGTCGCGTCCATTAACATCTGATAGGGGACCGTCTCTCTTCCCGAATCCGATCGCCGTGGAGATGTATTCCGGTTTGAAGCCGCGGATCTCTCTCAGCCTCGTCCGGTGTTTAAAGAATTGAGGATACTTGCTACTCTTAATCGCGGTCGCTACGATAAAGGATCCCGCGACGAACACCAACGCGATCGCTAACGTCGTCCGCATGATTTTTCTGGGGCAAAAAAAGAGATACAACGAACACGATAATGAATGTTCACAATAAATAAAAAAATTAATATATAATTATATATATATATATATATTTTTTTTTAATTGCAGTTTTCCATTTGTGTGGAAGTTCGTTATTAATACGTTTTGATCGAGCGACACGTATTTCTTAATTCTAACAAAATATGAACTTCTTACGAGATCTTGCCAAAATGTCGGAACATTTGCGTATAATATTGATCTGACGCAGACGTCATTATTACGCAGATACATGATATCTTAATTAGAATTTATACTTACTGCGATACCACAGAAATCAATTAAGACGCACAATATTTAGATGCATTTTTAATTTGCATAAATTCTAAAATTTTGCTAATATATATTAGTAGAAGTAAAATTATAACTTCTGTTTTCGCTTGGAATGTCCCATTAGAAATCAAAGCATTAAATATTAAATTATTGAGAATAAAAAGAGATAGATTACATTACATTAGCTAAATCAGCTAAATAAAAGGGGTAATAATATCGATTATATATATCTTGAAACGAGATGAAAATGGCAAAATGAACGAATTTGCTAGAATATTTATAATTTTGGTGATCACACATAGTGAATTTACTCACTTCTGTAATTTTCATCTCGTTTCAATATACATAATCAACTCCCAGATGTGTGAAATAATAATTTTTTAAATGACTTCCAGGTCGGAGAATATCCAAGTTTCAACACGAGATGCTTTTTATAGATTTTTCGACATAATTTTTTCGTACAATTTAAAAAGTAATTTAAATCGCGATTATCTTTTTTACCAGATTTAATTAAAATTTAAAAAAAATTCAAAACGACGCGACATGCCCGCATTCAACGCGAAATCGAAAATCGTGTGTATGTGAAATAACGTCTCTAATTTCGGTATATTTCTTCCCGCAGATGCGAGATGTGATCGGGATAAAATTTTTTTAGCGATACGCTGTCTACGTCGGACCCAGATTTTCGATGATCCCAGAGGAAGAAACGTCGACTTGATTCGTGCGTGTGAAAGCCGAGGACTGGGCTCGGTGACAATTTCGTGTCGCTTTGTACATAGCCGCCGACGTCGGCGTCGCGACCGCCGGCGACGCCCGTCGTAGCCGCCGTCGACGCTGACGGAGCCGCCAGGCAATCGTATTTTCTATTAATTTCTTTAATGCACTTGGCCAATCGATGTTTTATCGTCGCATTGAAATCTCCGCTGAAATGGCTGCAATCGTTCGCAAGGCGAAAATACATACAAAGATGTATGTGAGCTAACGAAGATGCAAAGAGGCGCCGAAACCACCGCCGTCGCCGCCGTCGCCGTCGTCGCCGCCGTTTATGCGTCGTCTAGCCGCCAATGCGTATGCGAAATTTCTCTGCAGTATACAGCGATCCTTCTTCTGAGGACACTTGACGATGCGCCACGCCCACGCTTTTACTTAATTTACATCGTGAACTACATTCGCCGCATGCGGTTTTTTTAGCGTTAGATCTGGCCGATGATAAATTAAAAAAGGAGGCGTAATTAAATTGCGCAAATAAATTATAATTTCCTAAGTGGTCGAACTTTTCAATTACGAGGAATTCTACGCAGTAGATATATTTCTGCGAAGCGTAAATTGATTAACACGATCCTTTTAATCTTCTTTTTATTTACATAAAATATATATACATCTTTATAATGTAGGAATATATATGTATATAATAATGTATATATGATCATTTACAATATATAATATTATTTCATGAGTTTCGGATCCAACGTCATTTTGTCATTTTGACCAAGGAGTGATCTAAAACGACGATAGGTATTTCTTTAAGAATAAGAGAACGTGGAATGCCAGAATATTTAACAAAAAGCTCCAAAAAATAAAGATTAGTAGCCCCTTCAGTTTCTGCATCACCTCCCGCTTTCATACTGAAAAAAACATTCTCGCGTTAGTAATATCTATCTCAAGCAATGTTGTATTGTTACCTCTACAATATTATAAAATTATGCTTACCTCTCTACAGTGACAAACGACAGGACATACATGCAAAGATATTTTACATAACGATTCATCACAGAAACATGAAATTGACGAAGAATCGTTTGTATTCCTATGGCAAATATCACAGCATCAACAGGATCTTGATATTTCTTGCTTAACAGACTTGCTACAATAAGTCAAATATTTGTAAACGTTACTTATTTTATTACAGAATGTAATTATATATATATATATTACGATATAATTATACCTGTATTTTTGCAATAGAATAATTTATTCAATTGCGACACTGTAAATAGGAAAATAATAATAGCTATATTATCCATCTTTGGTGGCTTGATATAAACTTTATTATGTGGATCACTGATGCCAGCCCAGTCCAATCGCACGCTAAGTTCATGAAGTAATTCGCTTTTCTCCGGCTCGGTCTCATTGTTGATATTATCTTTTTTTGCTATCTCGCATAAAACAGCCCTACAAAAGAATTAAAAAAGAATTAAAAGAAATCGCAAAATTGTAAATTAATTTCTACGTACGTATTCAATGTTCGAAGCGCTGCTTCCATATGCTTCGCTTCAAATTTGCATGCAGTGTTTAGTTCATACGCTATTTTTTTCCTCAGTAATTGGTAGTGACCTATTTTTAATGTCCACTCAAGCGCTGATGACCACAATTTGCTACTGCTAGCGTTTATAGAATTGTGAAGTTTCGTAATGTTACCTAAGGCACATACGCGATACTTTATGTAAATACATGTTAATTATCCTTATTTTCGTTATATATATATATATTTTTCTAATGCGAATTCTTACTTTTAGCACTATCTAAAGAATTTAAAGTAGTCTCACAATCTTCTAACAACGATAGCCACGTTTTGTTCCGTATATTTTTTTCTATATAGTGAACTAAAGCTTCCAGTTCTATGACAATGAAGAAGGAGATAAGCTTGTCCAGTCCCGATAATCCTGGTGTGCCTATCGTTTCTAATATCACCGAGAAAACCTTGTAATTTAAGATCTCATTCTGCGTTTTAATGTCATACCATGCTAGAGAATGTTCTATGTACACGATGGTTCTGAAAAGACATAAGTCGGTTAGAGACGTAGGTACAATTTTTTTTATAAGAGCGAAATCGAAATACAAATAATACCGCGGATCAGTAATACGGATAAGCTCTCTGGCAAGTCTACCCATGAATGTTAAAGAGCTATTATCGGTTGAAAAGGCGTGTTTATCTTCTTGAAATTGTCTCCATGATTTTCCTGGCACCCAGGAAGAACCCCTACGTTCTTCTTCGACGGCATTGTTTATAATATATGTGATCTAAAGATGCGCATATTTAGAATAGAATTTACGAGCGTACGAAAATATTTTTGTGTAACTTATATCAGAAATCATAATCATATAATTCTCTTACTTCTTCATGCCATATCTTCAAACTGTTTATGTTAATATAATCCTGAATGTATTGAAAAGATTTTCTGTATCCGTCCATAATTGAAGATAAATGATTCAGTTTTTGTAGAAGAGATGTCTAAAAAAATATTTGCAACAATTATTGGGTATATAATCTTAAGAAAAAAATTTCTCATTTATCAGAATTTACCTTGGACTTTTGATCAAAGTTGAGGCCATTCTGTAAAGCCAAAGTAACTTTCTTGACGAGCTCCTGACGTATACCATCTTCTAAGAGACGATGTGAATCAACCCTCAAAACTCCTAAAGAAACACTTCTTAATGACAGAACACCTTTTGTGAAAACTGATACAGCATATGTTAATTTTGCCATCTATAAAAATAATAATATAACAATGTTGCTTTCTTTTAAACACAATATCATAATGAGAATTATTTCTAATAGTGTACCTGTAATCTTTCAGCCAGTTGTGCATAATCTTTAAGTTTATCTTTGGGTAATTTAGTCGGGATCTCTTTAAATGAATTCGTTTCAAGATGCACTATCTCTGCCAACAAACCGAACACAGTTTCGGGTATAATTTGCAAAACACGCCTTGCATATCCCTCCAGTTCTCTGCTATAATACTGGGACACGGAAGACAAGTCCGCGCTTCGTGCTTGGTTTACCCTCAGCAATGGAGTTTCCAATGCTGATGCCATCTAAAAATAATATAATGTATAAAGTATGTAATGTGTGTACGTCATATAATTTTAATTGTTTGCGTATTTACTTTAAGGAAAAGTGCTTTTAGTTTGATAACGGTTGGCGGATTTCCCTTTATGCTCTCCTGCATTACATCGATAAAAGATTCCATAACGTTCCATGCATAGCAACAATCGGTTACGATATTTAAATTTATCATGATATCTTCAGATATGCTGCCTGTACGCAACATATTGTGTAGAGTCTCGCGTGTATCAGCGAGATATTGTGAAATATGTAGATTATTTTCTAATTGATGAAATTCTGGGGAAAAAACATCATAAGATATTATAGTATAATACAAATGTTTATATGGATTTACTTTAGATAGAAAAAAATAATGTAATTGATTCACATTTCTTTACCCTGAACTTGTTCCAATGCTTGCAGTAATTGCACTATCTTTCGCCCATCTTCTTGCTTTAATGAATCAATGTGTTTACTTATTTCCATGAACCATGTATAAAGATTTTGGTTTTTATCAATACCATCTAGAGGTTTGGCGCCACCAAAAATTTGTGCAAGATCAGTTATACGTTCGACGCATATCCCTTTGTCCTTCAACCATTTAGCTTCTTTTCCAAGCAAGAGCTAATGTAAAAAAAAATTTATATTAATCACAAACAAATATAGACATCGCAATGAAAAAGAAGTTTAATCTTAAACTTACATCTTTATACATCTGTTTAACATCCTGTTCAATTTGAGCAGTGCTTAGTAATAAACGAAGACATTTTACTGTGGTATATTTGCTTTCCATCACGACCAACTGACGTAGGGTACGCAAACGTTTTGAATCCTCTAGTGTTATAGTGGGCGTAGCGGTGTGCAGAAGAATCCAATGCAACGTAACATTACATTCTCTCACTAATTTGACTAAAGAACCTGTTGCATTTTCATCCAATGTGCCTGCCAACTGTACCTCGTCGGTTTCTTGCATTAATTTCTGGAATATTTTCTCTATGTAAAATTGTAGTTTTTTTTTATAGTTAAAGAGACTTCATGAAAAATTCTTATAAACTTACATCCATTTTTGTTCCATATTTTTGGGCAATCCCTTTTACATTAGAATTCTCGAGTGTATTATTCAACGCTGTTCGTGCAGCTTTATACGGTGACCACCAATCACATAGACTGATCACTGTTCCCATATAAATACTAATTACCCAATTATCAGGAAAGAATCTGTCTACTATTTCCCTCATAATGGCAGTTTGTGTATGTAGTACAGTTGATTTAAATGACAAAATTATAACTAACATTGATGCTTGCGTGGCCACGGCAGTGCTACGATGCTCTGGATGTGGGAAAGCAAGAGTCTGATTATAAATCTCATCTGAACGCAATCGACCAATAACCAGATCTACCAAAAAATCTCGTAGTGGTACTCTCCTAAAAAAAAATTTCTTTTTTTTTAATATTCTGTTATAGTTTCTCTAAAGATTTTAATTGTATTTTAAAATCAATTGCATTATCTTTTCTTTTATGTTCCAATTATATTACATACTTGAAATATTCTTCGGGATAATTAGCTGGTCTTTTGGACAGTGTTCTCACATATCCTGTTGAACGGAGCAACATGCAGACGTCATCCACTCTTGTCGAGGAAGACCGTTGAGCATTGTATCGGTAATAGGACACAAGTAATCTTTCACGTATTCGTCCTTCAAAATGGTAATCAACCAGCAACAGCATTACACCATATAAGTATACAGCTTCGCACTAAACGAAAATTTAATTGTCTTATATTAGTTTATCTGTATATTCAACATTAGTTTCTCTGTTAAACAATTTGATGCGAGCATCTTTACAAAAAAAAGAGAAATATACCATTAATTGTTTTCCCTCTTCATTGAACATAATAGAATCTATTGACTGATGTATGTAAACTCCATCTCCTAATTCATCAATGTAAAAATTCAGATCTGTGACATACTTGTGTATACTCTCAAAAGCCAAATAAAACCTTGTAAGTATATCTGAAAAATTATTTCGGAGCTCTTCATCAGTTTCTTGGAATACCTAAAAAAAATGCAGATGGAATTTAGGATTGTGTTTGCCAGTTTCCAACAATAAGACACTCATTAAAATTGCAAAAAAAGTAGTATTTACCGAATCATCTTCTATTTTTTGCTCATAAACACTGGCTGCCTTGAAATATGCAAAGTCAATTATAATAGACCCATATTTCTGTATCAGTTGCTTCGAATCCAAACTGCAAAAATAGCAGTAATCACATGCAATGTTTATATAATATTATAATATATAATATTAAAGTTTCTATATCTGTATAACAATTTTTACCAATTTATATATTTATTTAATAAAGTTTACATATTACAATTAAATCAAAACATCTTTGCAATACATTACCATCAGCTGTAATGTAACATAAATATTTACTCTATTAATTAATTAATAAGATACCTTTTTCTCTTAATAAACTGACCTAAAGACCGGCGGTACATAATCCTTCAATCGCATTAGTTCAGCTATGATAGCATTCCCACGGGATACCAGTCGCAACAAGTTTTGCCCGCAGACATTATTGGCCGCTAAAAAGTCGCTCATTTTTTTCATTCAGATAATTTTAACGATCATCTCAAAACGGACAATTGCTCATCAGCCTTTTGACAGCAGTATTTGATATCTGATCACCCTCTCTCTTCCAGCTGGAATCCGTCGTTTACCGTCAGTCGCTCGTTTGATCTTCCACTAGTTCCACTTCTTGTTTCAGCCGCAATATGTCGAGAGGACGCGCGATGAATTTTTAACATATGGACGCCTTTTTGTATATATGTACGAGTCTACAATTTTCACTAATTTTCACTTGATAGAGTCTCGCTTTAAAATTTTTAAAAGTAAGGCCGACCTTGACACTTTGAGGATTGAAGAAATCTGATCGTATTGACCTCCGAAGAAGTTTTGCAAAAAGACAGGTGTTGTTAAAGAAGGAAAAGAAGATAGCATTTCATCGTATCTCGCTTGATCTCTCTCGGCGTTTCGTGACTGAGAAAGGATACAGATCAATACCCTGGGTTTACGATTATATGGGAGAGCCACACTTCTGTAGGAATATTTATTATGGTTATTTATTGTATGCCAAATTGATTGCTCCTTCCAAATCCGATTTTATTTTATGATAAATGGAGCTATTAAACTCACGATCATTATCCACGACGCTATAAAGGATAAAATCAGAAGCAGTAAATCCAAGAGCAAAATTATTCCTTGTGAGTTTGTTTCTCTGTGAGTCAAAGAATGTCTGATAATCACTCAACCATCCTTGATAATCCACGACGGCCAAGGCATAAATTAAAGGTCCAACAGACAAACTAAGACCAAAGTCAGCAGTTGCAGATACATTTTCATGTTTATAAATAGTTATCAGTTTTCCAGTTTTGGAACTGATTTGTGAGGAGAAAATACAGCTGTAGTCAGCTGTGAGACCATCGAGTAACTTATTGGCAAGAATCATTGCGAAATATTTGGTTTGTCACGCATCTTCGTCCCCGTGATACCCTGATCGAATGTGACGGCAAGCTTCTCGGATTTGACGAACCTTCCTGGCGAATGTTATCGTGAACCAAACTTGTCCTTCGTAAGGCTTTGCAAAACAAATTCAAGACTCCCGAAGACTGATGCCACGTTCGCTGGTTACCGAAATTTCTCGATGTTGATTTGATCGACTCGGAAACGTTTCTTCTACATTTAGAATGGAGGTAAGAGCTCATACTAATATCCGTTTCTATTAATATAACTTTAATCTCAGTTTAACTTATTTTTCATCTTTTTCTAATTTTTAAAACTAAAAAAGGATAAAGAATTAGTTAACCCGAGATTTTTCAAATTAAACTAAATTGGTAAAAACAGGCATTATTAGAACAAAAAAAAATTTAAAAGTTGAACCAGATCAAAATTAATCTTTCATTGATGGAATCAATTTTATAAAGAACAGATCTATGCCTATTTCTACCAATGTAGTTTAATTTTAATCTTGGTTTAACTATTTAGAACAATTTTTTTATAGGTAAATTTGATTGTAATAATTTGTTCTCTATTTATAGTCAAGTGCTAAAGTTCCTTTGCCATTAGAACCCATAAAAGCAAATCAAGTTGAAGACAGACGCCTATGGGTGGGCAATTTAGATTTAAGAATTAATGAGTAAGTATTTATATTTATTATTATGATATTTCTTTTATAAAGATTTTTGTAACATCTTCTTGGCAAACTTGATATGTGAGAGGTGTTTTGCATTAGAACAGTGATGCACAATCATTTTTAAAGATCATTTTCAGAGGATTATTTTTAGAAATAGGTAAATTTTTTGGGCCCTATAATGTTTATTTCGTTCGCATATATATAAAAATGATTTTATATTTTTTATCATGAGGGCTACAGGTTGTGCATCATTGCATTAGAATATTAAAATTGGAAGAGAAAAACTAATGCTCTTTTTGTCAACCGGTACCAACTCCTGAAACTTGTCCAAAAATACGGCACAATCGAAAAGTTCGACCTGCTATTTCATCGATCGGGACCTCAAGCTGGTCAGCCAAGAGGCTATGCATTTATTACTTACAAAACGATTCAAGATGCTATAAGGGCAAAAGATGCTTTACATAATTTGAAAGTTGGAGCTAAGAATATTATCGTTAGATGGGCGCACAGTGTTACTGAGGTACAATATGTTTATGTGTTATAATATTGTTAAAAAGTTTAAATCTTAAATTAAAAACTTTAATTTCTAATATAATGCATTGTACAATATTTTATGAATTGCATAACTTTATAACTATAAGTAGTAATTTTGAACAACTACATTTTGAAAAACTTACAAAAAATAATTGTTTAGTTGGACATGGATAAACCAAAACCAAAGATTGAGATTCCTGCCTTAGCTGGTGCAAAGAAAGAAGATAAAAAGATTAGGTATAATTTTATTTTATCAAATAAACGAATCGAATAAACAATATTTTAATTGAAATTTGCAATTTTCCTGCAGTCGTGAAACAGCAATTCAAGCGATTGAAGCGAAACTCAAGTTGATGAAAGAATCGGAAGAAGAGTTCGAATTGAATAAACCATTGGAAGGATCGCCTATTATACAACTCTATCAAAAAGTAGAAAATCAAAAACCGTCCACCTCTACGCGTTATCATAGCCGTGGAAGCTGCTACCATCACAACAAGCCATACAGTCGCCATAAGCCAAGAAGATAATTAGCGTACATTTCATCTACATTTTTATCCCATTTAACAACCATCATTATCATAATAGTTTTATGATATTTATATTATTTATGACGCAAATGCCTACTTATTTAATATCGTTTATTAAAACAATTTTGTTTTTGTGTGTATAAAGAAATTTTATATGTATTTTCGTGTTGTGAAACTACGTATCCATCAAAGGAACATAGGAGCAACATTTATGTTTCTATTGCCTGTAAAAGTTCCAATATGTTTCTCGATGTTCCTCATTGTCGCCAAAAATACAAGAAACATTAGAGCTACGACTGTTTTAAATCGTCCGCGATGTAACGCTCTCAATATGTACGTCAACGTACATGTATTTTCGTAATATATGGAAATCTATTTTATAGCAAACATGCTTTGGAATAAGATGTAAAGTGTACAAGTTATTTCCATTATTCATATTTTTGGATATAGACCACACATGTACGTATATGTAATACAATTATAATACAAGTGTAACAAGAATTTTCAATAACTACAGTTTGTTTAATCTTTATTCTGTAATCGTTCTATTATTATCTTTCCACGCATGTGATCTGGCAATGGTACTATACCAGGACATGGCACTTGTCCTGGGATATGACATATACAACTCTTATCACAACCAACTCCGAAATTTGCTGGATTAGTCTTCTTTTCTTGAGCCATAGCTTCTTTTTCCAATACATTCGGCGGTTTTCCTACTATTCTCAAGAGATGATCAAGTATCTCGTCCTTTGATTTGCTGTCTACATCTATTAACATTGTCTTACCATTCGCTGTAAAATATATAAATCATTTGTATCGTAATTTTACAAATTGAAAAAAATTCTGCAAAATATCTACAACAAATTTAATCAGCAAAATGCTAGAGCAGAAATATAACAAACTCTGCTAATAGAATCTAATAATAAATGGAGTGTAAAAATTAAATAGAATTTATCAATTTGTAATATTCAGTTTTTGCAATCAATTGTAATCACTCGAACAGTTATAAATAACAGACTTTGCCTAGTTTCTATTAACAATTTGCTCAGATTTATCAGATTATATTTATGGACTCCACTGGCAAAACAAGTATAAAATACATGAATAAAATTTTTTCTTAGAATTTCTATACGAATTGAAACACTTTTTAGAAATATGAAGAAAGTCTGATTAACATGTTTTTATATATGTAAATTCTGAAACACAAAAAATTCTAGAAGAGATGTAGACTTTCTTGACTTTTGAAAAATGTTTCAATTTGTAGAAAAAAAATCTAAGAATGTTCTAAAAATTGTAAAATTATTCAAAAATGCTGAAATTTATGTTCTAAAGTTAAAATTCTGAGAAAAAATTTTATTCATTCAGTATTTTATACTTTCATGTATTTTATACTTTTATCAAGTAATATCACAATATTTTGCTCAAATTTACTGATAAAAAATGCTGACATACTGTTTACATTTTGCTCACTAGATTCTATCGCCTAATTCTAACATTAAATAAATCTTGTTTGAAATTATAATTGAGTCACAATTTTACCGTAGTAGCATTTTATGAATGGCGACGGGGTTATGTTTTTAAAGGTAACTATTTGCACATTTGGATTTTTATACTGTAGTTGCGGTAGATGCCAAAACACAAAGTCTCTATAAGAAAAAAACAGAAAAAGAATAAACAGAAAAAAAACGGTTCATTAAAATACAGACTGCAGATGAGCTTTAAGTATTAAGCAAATAACCTTTACCTTGTACCTCGGTGATGACTGCCATGTGTGTTATAATTGATGGACATTATTTGTATCTTATCCTTTAAAATCAATTTGCCAGCCATTAGGTATTTCATTGTTCGCCGCACAGGCTCCTTGCCTATCATAAACGGCATTCTGCCGATTGTTGTCTAATTATGCCTGCTTTCAATCTGTCTGTTTATTACAGTATTCACCCGATTACTTTAACTCGTACGATCGATCGACAGCAAATCAACTTCCTTTTTCCGCTTATCGAAACTCTCGAAAGTCGAACTGGTTCAAATACATGCATGTGCGCACGCACACAAACATACACCTGAATTTTCTCTTTCCCTCTTTACCAATCTTTTTTGACTCTTTCTCTTTACTTACCGTGTATACCGCATTACAGTATATGTATACTGTGGCCGCGTGTCAGGGGCTCCGAACAATAAAAGGAACAACAGTCTACCTGTACATGACTGAGCAACAGAGGCAAGTCCTGCAAAGATTGATCGTTTTTCTCACTGTTTATATAAATCTGAATCGCAGAGATCGCATAATGTAATTACATAAAGCGATGCATTTTGTTTTGATTATTTCAATATTTCATAGTTTACTCTTGCATTTCTGATGCAACCTGAGACCATATGGTGAATTATGCAAAGTGTTTAACAACATATTATTGTAATTCGCGATTCTAGGACATTACTGGTAGCATAAAGGATTTAATACCTGAAATTATCAAGATGCAATTACAACAGACTGCCAACAATCAAGACAATGATGATGGTTCATCACCCAACAGCTCTGGCACAATGTCTAATGCGTCGAACACGAATCACAGTAACAACATGAACGCAAAGCAAATACGGCAGGCATATATCGACTTCTTCAAGAGCAAGGGGCACGAATATGTGCACTCGAACTCGACAATACCCCACGATGATCCAACTTTGCTCTTTACGAACGCTGGGATGAATCAAGTATGTCTTGATAATTCTCACATTGAATTCATTATTTATTCTTTTATGGATTTCAAAGAAGCTACGCTAAGTTTATCTTTGTGTCTTAATATATCATTGAATTCCAATGTTTTCATTGTAGTTTTCTTCTTCAAGATGAGAAACAACCTATGCTTCTTGTCCTAGTGAAGTAAACTATAATGTTAGCCTTTAATAATGTATTAAGACACAGAGATAACTCGCAAACTATGTAACTTTTTTGAAGAAAATACTTGTGGAAGCTTCAAAAACAATAACATGCTTTTTTAAGAATTATTTTTAGAAGACCATTTTTAGAAATAGATTTTTTAAAAATTGTTTAGGCCAAATAATGTTTATTTTGTTGAAATAAAAGAAAATATGATTTTTTGACTAAGCTGGAGGCTGCAAAAAGTTCACAATGTTCCAATTGTTTGTGAATTATATTTTATTACCTTATACTCTTATAAATATATTATTTATAAGTATCAACAACTATAGAGATTCGTGTAACCATTATTTGATTTATTCTTTATCACAACACTGTGTTTCTAATTGTATTTTAAATGTGTATTTCAGTTTAAGCCGATATTCTTAGGAACGGTCGATCCCAACAGCGATATGGCGAAATGGGTACGTGTTGTCAATAGCCAGAAGTGTATCCGAGCTGGTGGTAAGCATAATGATCTGGATGATGTTGGTAAAGATGTTTATCATCATACGTTCTTTGAGATGATGGGAAATTGGTCCTTTGGCGATTATTTCAAGGTAATTAATTGTTCCTAAAATCATTGGTCATTTTTCAAATTTCTAAGATTAGATATTTCTTTAAGATTTAATTTTTTTTGTAGAATGAGATATGCGCTTGGGCTTGGGAATTTTTAACAGACGTGTTGAAACTACCAGCTGATAGATTGTATGTCACATATTTTGGAGGGGATGAGAAAAGTGGATTGGCGCCAGATGATGAGTGCAAGAATTTCTGGCTTTCTCTTGGGTACATAATCATTTTAGAATACAATTATTCTGAACAGTTTATATTGGTAAAATTTTATTGATATAAATATTTTAAATTTTATATGTGTAATCTTATTTCCTTAATTATCTCATTCTGTTTATTGATTATTTTTGGCTATATTTTAATGTTTACTATCAAAAAATGTTTAAATTGTAAAAATATGAATCTACAGAGTACCTACCTCGCATGTTCTACCAGGCAACATGAAGGACAACTTTTGGGAAATGGGCGAAACTGGACCCTGCGGACCGTGCAGTGAGTTGCATTATGATCGTATCGGTGGTAGAGAAGCAGCTCATCTTGTAAATATGGATGATCCCGATGTATTAGAAATTTGGAATCTTGTGTTTATTCAATACAACAGGTATTTAAAACTAGACTATAACTCGCGATCCAAAGTCTCACGAACAATCTTAATTGTGTTAATTATGTTTCCAGAGAATTAAATGGTAGTCTTAAATCGTTACCAAAAAAGCATATAGACTGCGGCTTAGGTTTAGAACGATTGGTGTCGGTCATTCAAAATAAACGTGCTAATTATGATACTGATCTATTTATGCCTTTGTTTGCTGCAATTGAGGAAGGTACAGGTGCTCCGCCTTATCAAGGTAAAGTAGGAGCCGATGATATTAATGGAATCGATATGGCATACAGAGTTCTAGCTGATCATGCTCGAACTCTCACAATTGCTCTGGCAGATGGAGGAGTGCCTGATAACACTGGCAGAGGGTAAGTGTTTAATATTTAAACTTTAGATGTTTGGAAATCACAACTATTGAGTTAAGCGCTCAATAATTGTTGTCTGTGATTAAAAACCTTTAGATCCATGATAAATCTAGAAAAATATATTAATAGCAATAAGCATTTTTTTGTTGTGTTTTCCGAATGTAGTTTTTATATCCTGCCTTCTTTGCACTTTTTAATATAATTAAATTTATTTATCTAAACATAGTTCTCTTTATTTTGATATAGGTATGTGCTAAGAAGAATTTTACGACGCGCTGTACGCTATGCAACTGAGAAATTAAACGCTAAGCAAGGCTTCTTTGGATCTCTCGTAAACGTAGTAGTCGATCTTCTCGGTATCTTCATATTGTTTAATAAAAGAAGCTTTTATATTTTTTTACTATTTGCTCTTCTTCTAAAAGCAGTCTTTTGCTGTTACAGGTGATGTTTTTCCAGAAGTAAGAAAAGATCCACAAAGTATTATCGAGATTATCAATGAGGAAGAGAGTCAATTTCTGAAAACTCTATCCCGCGGTCGTAATTTATTGAATAGAACGATAGCAAAGTTAGAATCAGCTGACACTGTGCCAGGTGATGTCGCGTGGCGTTTATATGACACTTATGGCTTCCCGATAGATCTCACTCAGTTAATGACCGAAGAGAAAGGATTGAAGATTGATATGGCAGGCTATGAAGAAGCTAAGAAACAAGCGCAGGTATATATACATATATATTTCAATATATAATAATTAATCTGTATTATTATATATTAATATATTAATTTAGTGCTAAAATACTTTTTTTACTTTAATATTCTTCATAAATATTTTTTTTCAATTGTACAGTTAATTTCTCAAAATAAAGCTGGTGGTGTAGATGATCAAATTAATTTGGATGTCCATGCCATTACTGAATTGCAAAAGCAAGGCGTTAAACCTACGGACGATTCTCCTAAATATGATTATAAAGTAACGACAGAGATTAAATATAAAGAGTATGAATTTGTACCATGTACTGGCACCGTAATCGCACTAAGACGCGCCAAGACTTTCGTCGATGAAGTATCTTCCGGCGAAGAAGTTGGAATTTTATTGGACAGGACGAATTTTTACGCAGAGCAAGGAGGACAAATATACGATGAAGGATTTTTAGTGAAAGTCGATGATGAGGTATATAAAATTTAATTTTCATTTTAATTTCGTGCAACGAAGAGCAAGATTTATAGCATATTGCTTTAAAAGACTACAGAGATTCGTATAAAGAACGTTCAAGTCAGAGCTGGTTATGTGTTACACATTGGTACTGTGGGCGAAGGCACATTAAGAAAAGGAGATAAAGTTCATACGAATGTAGATACAGAACGTAGACGGTTTGTGATGGCTAATCATAGTGCCACACACGTTTTGAATTGTGCACTTAGGAAGGTCTTGGGAACGAAAGCCGATCAGAAAGGATCATTAGTTGCACCTGATAGACTCCGATTTGACTTTACGAATAAAGGTACAGTCTCGAATTAAAATGGAACTAGATCGCATGAATTAACTACTATTGTCAAATTTTCTCAATAGGACCAATGACGGGAGGTCAGTTACAAGATACGGAACAGTTAGCCAATAACATGATAATAGAAAACGAGAAAATTTATGCTAAAGAAAGTAACTTAGCTATAGCAAAAACTATTCAAGGTTTGCGTGCAATGTTCGAGGAGACGTATCCTGATCCGGTACGTGTTGTTAGTGTGGGCATACCGGTTGAAAACTTAGAAAAGGATCCCTTGAGTACAGCTGCTCTTGAAACCAGCGTAGAATTTTGCGGGGGAACGTAAGTGTTAGCCGTTTCAAGTATACATTTTAGGTTTGTTCTTTGCACTTCTTGCACCATTCCTTTTTTTTTCTCTATATTCGAGAGAAAAACAAGAAAAGATAAACAAGAAATTCAATTGAAAAAAACACATCATTTCTTACCATGCTTGTTTCTTTAATTTACGAACGATTTGTTCCATAGGCATTTGCATTACACTAGCCACATAGGTAATTTTACAATAATCAGTGAAGACGCTATCGCTAAAGGTATCAGACGCATAGTAGCGCTTACTGGGCCGGAAGCAGCAAAAGCCTTAAGAACGGGCATGCTATTGCAACGACAGTTATCTCAATTTCAAGCAACGATTGAAGATGATCAGTCTGGAACAAACTCTAAGGAATATGTGAGAGAGATAGTAGAATTAACGGAGGAGATATCTCATGCCCTTATTCCTGCATATTGGAAGGCAATTATATTTAATAAAATATGTTAATTTCAGAGAGTTGATAAATTGTTACAGTAATAATTTTTTTGTTATAACAGGATTGCATGCGCAATACGTTGAAAAACTTGAAGAAATCTCTCGACGATAAGGAACGGGCAGCAAAGGCAACTGTTGCTACTACGGTTGTACAGACTGCTCAGTCTATAATAGAGTCTAAAGTTGGATGTCAAGTTTTAGTCGAGGTGCTGGAAGCCTACAGTAATACGAAAGCTCTAGATCAGGCATTAAAGAAAATCAGGGCTATATCGCCAGAAACTAGTGCCTTGCTTATAAGCGTAGATCATGATGTCAAGAAGATATTCGCTCTCAGTTCTGTTCCTAAAGTAAGATAAAAGTAAAGTAAAAGTAAAAACAGTCATACTGATAGAACGAACTCATTCACAGTCTGCAGTATCCAAAGGGTTGAAGGCAAATGAATGGATCCAGGCAATCACGTCTTTGATGCAAGGCAAAGGAGGTGGGAAATCCGAATCTGCGCAAGCTTCTGGTTCAAACATAGTACGTTTGAATGAAATAGTAAGCAAAGCCAATGAGTTTGCTGATCAAAAACTTGGAATTACAAGTAAGTACAGAAACATTACTGTTTGATACTGTAATTTTACTGTAGCATTATGTTAGTTGAAAACTTGAAAACGAAGTGTAACAGTTTATAAGTTTACTAGATATATTAATTTAGTAGATTATTGATTTACTAATTTGTGTATATTTAGATTAATTTATCAGCAATTATGTCTGCTTTCAGACAAGATTATTACTAATAATACTCATAAAATTTCAGAAACTTTTCGATTACTTAACACGGGATCTTCATTAAAATTAGTACTTTATGGAAACATTGGAAATATTAAATGCTATTTAGCACAAATAATCGCACAATATAGTGGCAAATGTTTGACTATTAAGCAAGTTGATAATAGAATACTTTCTAGTGATATAATGTTAGAAACAGCAAATGTTACGTTACACGATAGCAATGCCATTGCATTCTTTTTATCAAATTCGCAGCTACGGCGTGATGACGATTTATTTGCATGCAGTCAAGTTCTGCAATGGATGAGTTACGTACAAAATCACATCTTACCAATGGTTTATGGCTGGGTACTCCCTTCACTTGTTTCCGTATCAAAAGATACGAAAATAAATATAAAAATTTCGAAAGCGGATCTTCTTTGTGCTCTAAGAAAATTGGATGACGTAATGCATACAAGGACGTATTTGATAGGCGAAAGAATTACTCTTGCGGATATATCCTTTTTTACCGCATTACTGCCTTTATACGAATATGTGTTTGATCCACATTATAGAGAACAATATTCGAATATAACTAGGTGGTTTTCGACGATCCTCAATCAGCCGCAAGTAAAATGTGTGATAAAGAATTTTTCATTTTGTACGGAAGCTATGTGATGTTAATGCCATTGCGATAAGAGTTCTCTTTTTATATACGTTTTTACCGGATTTATTATGTAAAAGTTATATCAAAAGTTCAGTATCTTCTTCTGATGTAGTAACTTTAAGATTATCGTACAATATTCTAATCTCTTTCAATAAAGTGGAAATGTTAGTTCCTACTTTGGCAGAGATAGGAATTATTGGTAAATCTATATGTTCTCTGAGTAACTGTAAATTAACCTGAAATACAAATTACATAAAAAAATTATTAACTTCGAGATTTTTTTTAATTACCGTTGGCATTTAAATTAATAATACATAAATATATTAAAATAGTAATAAAACTAATGAACTCAAAGAATTTAAAATTTTAGTCGCTCACCTCAGCATTTGGCAAATCAATTTTATTTGCTACAATAATGTGAGGCCTGTCATTCAGTCTTTCATTAAACTGACTAATTTCGTACTTTAAAGTTTGCAGAACTTCCCACGGTTCGTTCTGTGCTACATCTAAAATAAATACTAAAGCGGCGCAACGTTCCACGTGCTTGAGGAAAGTTATGCCAAGCCCTCTATTTTTATGTGAATCTTCTATGAGACCGGGCATGTCAGCAACTAAAACAAATTACGAAAGTAGATTAAATGCGCAAGAAAATTCGCGCTATTTCTATATTATACGATATAAATATAAAAATTACCTGCAATTTGTTCATAATCATCGTATTGAATTATGCCTATATGAGGTTTTAAAGTAGTAAAGGGATAGGCCGCTATTTTTGGCCTAGCTCTGGATATCGCTCTTAAAAGTGTACTTTTACCAGCATTTGGCAAACCGATCTAACAATTTGATAAACATATATAACACAATATAAATTTAATTCTTAAATGTTTTATACAATAAAAATTTCTATAGTATTTATACAAGTAAATATATATTTTTGGACATTAATGACATGTTTTTAAATACTAATAATAAAATTAATTTAGCGATAACTGAAAGAATACTCACCAATCCAATATGGGCCATACTCCTTATTTCCAAAACGTATTGCAAGTTTTCTCCGATTGCGCCGTATTCGCATATTTCAGGCGTCTGTTGAGTGTCCGACTTGAAAAAGGCATTTCCATGACCGCCGGCACCACCTCTCGCGGCAATAAACATCATTCCTTCTTTGTTCAAGTCGGCTAATATTTTACCCTCTACATCACGCACGATCGTGCCAATGGGTACTTTTACCACATTGTGTTCTGCATTTTTACCGAAACAATCCTTGCCGTAACCTTTTTCTCCATCCTCAGCTCTGATCACTGAATATATATGCTTAAGATCCTTTACATTTGGTGTCGTCTGTATAATAAAACTACATTTTATATTCTGTACAAACTAGTGTTAATATATTACACATAAACGTAAATAAATGGATGTTTTCCAGCAAGAGACACAAATGACACAGTGGATGCTTTCCATTTAACAACGCAAGTCGACCCGTATAATACAGTGGATCATTTCATCTTTATTTAACATTCACAAACAAGAATGTAATGATTCATTGATCTGTTTCTTGGATACTGGAATGCATCTAGTAATAATCGTATAAATTTTATGTTTTATTGATTATATTTCTCACGTGATTTGCTTTAATCGTAATAATCTTACTTCAAATATTACATGACCACCGTGCCCGCCGTCACCACCATCCGGACCAGCTCTATCATTGACCCACAATCGTAAGAACGATATGTGCCCATCGCCACCGTTTCCCCCGATTGTTTTCACCTAACGAAAAATGATAATACGATTAGGAACTGGTAATGTCTCGCAAAATAATGTTCTTACCGATCTTATATCGACAAAATGTTGCAGGGTGTCATTCTTCGATTTGGGTTTTGTACTGCGTAAAGGTTTAGCTATGGATTCCTGTTTATGAATGCATGCGGTAGCAGATAACGCTCTAAGCCCACTTGAAACTCCGCTTCTGATTCTGTTCTCTTTCAATACGGTTTCACAGCTTTGTCTTTGAATTATGCCACATGCGACGATACTTCTCAAATGACGAAGACGATGCATCTGAAAGAGATGGCAAAAGATATGATGAACTTCATGCATCTTACATAATATCAATAATGAAATAGATCAATATATGTACCGTTTTAATAAGATCCAAATTTATTTCTTAACAGAATACACAAAATAATTCTAGTTATGTGTTCATCTTGAGACGGTGACTTTAAATTTATCTTCTACAAAATTTGCGATTACATTTTGATGTAATTCAATAACTCTTCTCCTATATAACGGCATATAATTTGATTTGTAATTTATCCTATATGTTCTCTTTGTCTTTTCGTCAACAGAAGAGTGATAACAATTAATCAAATCTACATTGTCAATAATAGATCCTGCATAATTATACAGCGACTGATAAAAATCAGCTATATTAAAATCTCGATCAGTAGACAAAGTTAAATCAAATGTAAAATTACACGGATGAATACATTTAATATCTAATTTATCTTGGATATTTTTTGTCATGTCTTTCCATGTAATATTATCCACAGTATATTTAAAAGTGTGTATCTTATTACTAGGTGCGATATTGTGCATCATAGGTAGTTCGGCCTTCGTGAAAAAATGTGTTAATGAGCCCGCCGTGTGAAATTGCTTATCTAAACTACGATAGCCCGTTACAATATAATTCTGAAAAGATTGCCATAAAAACGGTTCTATTCTTGTTAATATAAAATTTCCATGTGCAGCCATTTCTACAATTTTCCAGGAATCGTCCCAACGTCTCCTAGGTTCATCCATAGGCGTTCCACCTTGACCATTGCATAGTGTTACTAATATTTGACCATTTTCTTTTATCATTCTTTCAGACGACACAAAAAAGTCTTTCAGTAAGTCCCTATTTCTTTCTATTCTCATTTTACCACCAGCATGGGGAAAGTTAAATATGATTTTGTCGAACCGTCGCGATTTTAATGAGAGACATTCCTCTAACTTTGTAGCATCCACATCAAATAATACACAGATGCCTGAAAAGAAAAGCATAGATTTCTTTCTTTATAACTGATTGGCTAATTCTATCGTTGGCATTGTGGATAATATTTATCTTTTTAATTTACTGACCATTGCTTTGAAGATAATCTACATTTCTTTCTGCAGCTTCTTGATTGGTACCAGATTCGTAGCATGTAGCAATAAGTTCTATGTTCAAATTTTGTCGCAACAATGCTGCAGAGAATGAGAAGTTGCCTTCTCCTATTAGTAATACAGAGTCATTTTTATTAAAAATTGACATCGCCATCCTTGTTACTGAAAGTAATCGGATTGTATTCGAGCGGTATATCAGATAAATGCTTTTCTTTTCAGATACAGTAAGTGCAAAAATTTATATAAAAGAGATATCTTTAAAAAAATTTTACTTTTACAAAGCAAAAATAAAAAATTGCATTACTTGAACGCATAAAAAGTATTCATACAAAGAAATTTATTATAGCTTCTAAGATTATAAACACGGTCAGTTTTGCAAAGCTCTTTGTTTACATTAGGACAATGTTATTGTTAATAAATTGCTAATTAATTTTATTTTCTACAAATAAAGCTTTTTCTTTTTAATAAAAATCTCTCCTGTATGAATACTTTTCACATTCACTGTAGATTTACATCAGTTGTATATTTTATCAAAAATTAAGGATAGGTTAAGTATCAACATTTATAGGTTAAGAAAATTAGATTAGGGAGCCACGTAATTTTTCGTAACTCTGCAATTAGAATTCGGCAAGTTTGACTAACCTTCTATTTTAATATTATCCTCTCACGTTAAAATACATAACCAATCTTATCGCAAATGTATTTTTGCGTCGTACTTATTCGTAAAAAAAAATATTAACATAAGTTCGCCACTACAGTTGCACGTGAACGGTCATAGCCAGATCCGGCAGTGAGAGAAAAAAACGTCCATTGATGTCATGTTGTAAATAACGCAGTGTTCAATAATACGTGCGTGAATTTACAAATAATGGTACTCGAGATTATTCGCACGAATAATTGAAGTGAAAAACTTGTAATCGGTACATAACTATCTTTCGAATATCTAACACAAAGATGTTTTGATAGTTATCATAAAGATTTCGTCAGATTTTAGCAGAACCAGATGATCAGTCAATGCATGTGTCCAAAAAAATACAATGTTATCTTATATAATTGTTAAAAGATAATTATTATATATTGTCTGATATTTAAAATAATTATATTTATATAATATCTCGATTTGCAAGGAAGACTAAACTGAATAATTACCTATATAATAATTATTTTATATATTTGTTATATAAAAATATAGCAGATTACTAAAAATTTGTAAACAATAGGCGAGAAGAAAACAAGAACAATAATGATTTTGTGAATGATTGCATATGAAACAAAATACACTAAAAGATTGAATAATTTTTAAGAAAAAATTTCAGTAATACAACAATATAAAATGTTTGCCGGCAGTAGAATTGTGCTTAGCCGCATAAATGTCATCGTGACAAGACACTACATATGGCCATTGATAAGTAATCTACCTAAAGTAAATATAAGTTTCTAAATATTTTACATAATAATTTTTGTTACGGTATCGTAACATGAAGCAATCTATATTTACTTGAAATTGAATGTAAGTTTTGTTTTAGGTTCTGTTAAAGAATCAATCTGCTATTTCAATGGCTTGTGTGCACAATTTAGTTATTAACAAATCAGTGCCATTGACAAAGGAATCAGTGTCACCAGTCAATAGATATGTCCAGAGAACACACACATGTGGAGAGCTGACATTGAAGAATATCGGAGAGGAAGTGAGATTAAGCGGTTGGCTGGAATTCCAGAGAATGAGGAAATTTATAACATTACGAGATTCCTATGGATCAACGCAGTTACTTATACCTGAAGATGTATGTAGATACAGTCATTATATATTGATATTTGATAAATGTCATATAAAACATTGAAAGTTTCTAATGATTTCAGAGAAAGGATTTGATAGAAACTATACAGAACTTGTCTTTTGAAAGTGTCTTGAGCATAATAGGCAAAGTTGTACCAAGACCTGAAGATAAGCAGAATAAGAAAATGAAAACAGGCGACATAGAGGTATATATTGAGTCTTTAGAGATTCTAAATGCAGCATTGCAGAATCCTCCAGTGTTCATTAGAGAGTACAGTAAAGCCAAAGAAAGTCAGCAAATGAAATACAGGTATCTGTCACTGAGATACCCTGAACTGCAAAAGAATTTAAGAATGCGTTCCTCCCTCATAATGAGAATGAGAGAATTCTTGATCCATGAATGCAGTTTTGTGGACATTGAGACGCCAACGTTATTTAAAAGTACACCAGGGGTACGTCTTGTTAATATCTAGTTTACTGTAAATCTGTGTCAAATATATAAAATTGATTTATTATGCAATATCAAAATTAACAAACCAAAACACATTAATTTTTTATGTTCAGGGTGCACAAGAATTTGTAGTGCCCACGAGACAACCAGGTAACTTCTATTCATTAGTACAGAGTCCTCAACAATTCAAGCAGCTTCTCATGATAGGTGGCCTTGATAGATACTTTCAAATCGCTCGATGTTATCGAGACGAGACTGTTAGGCATGATAGACAGCCAGAGTTTACACAGGTAATTATACATTGCGTTTATATATAAGTAATATATTTTATTATCAGCTACACAGTTATATCATCAGTGTTATATCAGTTATATTATAGCTAGACATTGAAATGTCGTTTGTTGACCGGGACGGAGTGATGAGTTTAATCGAAAACTTATTAATGTATTCATGGCCAGAAGAATTGGGTTCCATAAAAATGCCTTTTAAGCTTATAACTTATAAAGACGCAATGGAGTTGTATGGTACTGACAAACCGGACTTAAGAATATCATATCAAGTAAGAAAACTAATGTATACAATCTTTTTTTTTTACCTCACGGAATAAACACAGTACTATTTCGATATAAAATTGCTTTCCAGATACAAGACCTCACACATATGTTCGATCTTCCAGTATTAAAGGAGATTATGAAGCTGGAAGATAATAAACAAAAAGTGTACGCTTTAGTTTTTCCAAAGAAATCGGTAGGTGTTTATTTTAATTTATTTTGATTTGTGTATGTGTGTGTTCCAAATGTTAATAATTTTTATATTGTAGAAGTACTTAACAAAATCTATCAGAGATGAACTCTCTAAGATTCGTAGCGATTATTTTAGTACTTCAAAGCTAGTTCAATTAAAAATTGAAAGCAATTCATGGAAGACAGAGTTAGATAAGTTAAAATTGAAATCAGAAATTGTAGCGAAAGATGTATCACAGTACTGCAAGTTACAGGAAGGGGATGCAGTATTGCTGGCAATTGGACATCGAATGGATGCAGTGAGTATAAAGTCTAAGATTCTTTTTTTTTCTCCTTTAATAATAATTTTTTTTCTCCACCTGCAACTATAATAATTATTGTATATTTTAGTTGAAACTCTTAGGAAAGCTACGTACCGAATTTACAAATATACTAGAAGCCAAAGGCGAACAAATACGTTCGTCCGAGGCTGAACTTGTATGGATCACGGACTTTCCGTTGTTCACATTCGAAGAAACATTGGAATCGTCGCATCATCCATTTACGCAACCTCATCCAGAGGACATAGAATATCTTACAACCGACCCTTTAAAGGTCAATAAGATTCAAGCCAATTAATTAATCTTGTCATATTTTTTACATATCTTTTTTTCTATAGGTGAGAGGCTTACATTACGATTTAGTGATGAATGGATCGGAAATAGCGGGAGGTTCCATTCGAATCCACGATGCGAATTTACAGAAGCAAATATTGGGAATGTTAAACATAGACGAAACAAAATTGTCGCACATGCTCGAGGCATTGACATACGGAGCTCCACCTCATGGTGGAATAGCTATAGGTATTACATTTTCACATGATAAATTTACATCTGTGAATTAAAATAAGACAAAACATTATTTTTTGTTCAAGGACTGGATCGTTTCGTCTGCGTACTTTGTAACGAAAAAAGTATAAAGAACGTCATAGCTTTCCCGAAAACGATGGAAGGACGAGATTTAATGTCCGGAGCGCCAGATGTTATTTCAGACGAGTTGAAGACTTTGTACCACATACAAACGGTAGATAAATAAAATTCTTTTTTTAGTTATAAAATAGAATTGACATTGTACATTTCGTTCATGTATAATATGAAAAGACAATTCCTTGCAAGTTATATAAAAAGATATAAAATTATTTATAAAATAAACTGTGGCAGTTTTGGGGCGTTTATTATCTGTAACATTTTTACCAAAAATCTAAGTTATTATCCAAGCTTTAAATAGTTATCAAAAGCATACAATTACCACGAACTGATTAAATAAAGAGACAAAAAATAGATGTACAAAAAAAGTGTTTTATTTTTTTTTCTGAGTAAACTCGTGCGTTCAATCGAAATGTTTTTACAGAAAAATAAAAAATACAATCCAGCCTGCATACTAAACTATTGACATTCATTTTCAAGAAGGATCTAAGAAGGTTCCTTCTTTTTTTTGTACACTTCTTGAGAGCCTCTCTCCTGACAAGTGAACATTTCAACCTAACAAATTTTTTTCTTAACAAATACGCTGATATGTCGTGACTACCAACTGTCGGCGGACGAAAATTTACATCGCTTTTTATTCACATATATATCCATCTTGAAACAGTCCACAATGTGTGAATTGGTACGATTATATATTAATTAACAAAATATCATTAAATGGCGATGAAATATCTGTTCAGTTTGCGATGCGTCAAATTTGTCAAAACCGTTAAAAAGACCCCTTAATTAAGATAAGTATCTGTTCGATCGATCCTCTTGCGATTTTTTTAACACAAAATGATGCAACTGTACATCCATAGATTAATTTCACGTACTAATTTTTTTGAAACAGTATAGAAGACATTTTGAAGACGAGCATCACAATTTTTTCATACCGTTACACATACAACTTTTTACAACTAAATGCCGAATCAAGCCAGGATAACAAGTTTCCATAATTTCAGCAAATCCCGTAGAGCAAATCCAATCAAAAGAAGTGCTGTTCTTCTCGACTTGGCGTATGCTTTCAGCAGACGCATACATTATGTTGTTCCGCGGGTCATTCGAATCGCTCCAATTACAACGCGATGCGATCTATATTGTCATACGTTCTTAGTACCTTAAAACGCATGCAACTTACAGCAATCGGCACGAAGCCCTGCCCGATACAGATCATGTGATGAAATTCTTCGAGAATCAAGATCAACAGCGAGCGTG